CTGTAAAGTCTTTTGGTGATGACTATATTGTGTACCTTGTGGATGACACACCAACGACCATTAAAGAGGCATATTGCTCTTCTGATGCTGACTTATGGAAGGAAGTAGTACGGAGTGAGATGGATTCTATTATGTCTAATGGAACTTAGGAAGTAGTTGATCATCCTTATGGGTGCAAGCCTATAGAGTGCAAATGGGTGTTTAAGAAAAAGCTTAGGCCTAATGGTACTATCGAGAGGTACAAAGCAAGACTTGTGGCCAAGGGTTATACTCAAAAGGAAGGTGAGGATTTCTTTGATACTTATTCACCAGTTGCCCGATTGACTACAATTCGAGTTTTGCTTTCCTTGGCAGCCTCTTATGGTCTTATCGTTCATCAAATGGACATTAAGACAGCTTTCCTAAACGGAGAGTTAGGGGAGGAGATCTATATGGATCAGCCGGATGGGTTTGTAGCAAATCGTTATATGGCCTAAAACAAGCTCCTAAGCAGTGGCATGAGAAGTTCGACAGAACTCTAACATCTGCTGGCTTTGTTATGAATGAAGCTGACAAATGTGTGTACTATCGGTATGGTGGGGGTGAAAGAGTTATTTTTGTTCTTATATGTTGATGACATACAGATCTTTGGATCCAGCCTCAAAGTGATTGAGGAGGTGAAGGAATTTTTATCTAATAATTTTGAAATGAAAGATTTGGGAGAGGCTGATGTTATTCTTAATATCAAGCTTCTGAGAGAAGGTGATGGTGGGCTAACTCTATTACAATCCCACTATATGGAAAAGGTTCTGAGTCGCTTTGGGTTTAGTGACTGTGAACCTGCTCCTATACCTTATGACCCTAGTGTGCTATTGAGGAAAAATCAGAGAATAGCAAGGGATCAATTGAGATATTCCTAGATCATTGGTTTGCTCATGTATCTTGCTAGTGCAACAAGGCCTGACATCTAATTTGCTATGTGCAAGTTGAGCCAGTTTGTGTCAAACCTGGGAGATGATCACTGGCGTGCTCCTGAGAGAGTGATGCGCTATCTAAAAGGCACTATGAGCTATGGTATTCGTTATACTGGACACCCAAAAGTGCTGGAAGGCTATTGTGATGCCAACTGAATCTCTGATGCTAATGTTTTTTATGCCACAAGTGGATATGTGTTTTCGCTTGGAGGTGGTGTTGTTTTCTGGAAGTCTTGCAAGCAGACTATCTTAACGAAGTCTATAATGGAAGCAGAACTCACAACATTAGACACCGCTGGTTCTGAGGCCGAATGGCTTCGTGATCTCCTTATGGATTTACCGGTTGTTGAAAAACTCATACTGGCTATTTCTATGAACTTCAATAACCAGACTATGATTATGAAGGTTAATAGTTCTAAGGATAACATGAAGTCCATAAGGCATGTTAAGAGACGACTAAAATCTGTTAGAAAATTGAGAAACTCTGGAGTAATAGCGTTGGACTATGTTCACATGTCTAATAATCTGGCAGATCAATTCACTAAGGGTCTATCACGCAATGTGATAGAAAGTGCATCGAGAGAGATGGGTTTGAGACCCACATGAAATTTACTATAGTGGTAACCTATTCTATGTGATCAGAGATCCCGTGAAGTAGGATGGTGAAACAAGCTAGTAGTAAATTATGAGGAAAGATCCTTAGTAAGACTCATTTCTGATGCATATCTTTCCTTTTTGTAAGGCAGGTTGGTTTTTACCTTAATGTGTTCCGAGTGGCTTGCTAAAGCAAAGTTGTTGTCCTACAGAACATCTTTTGAGGAACACACCTATATGAGCCAGACTCCTGGTCACAATCTATGAGATTTGGGTGATCTCTAAATACTTATGAAAGGCACTGGAGTATGACTTATATGTTTCAAATAGAGGGGATGCCTTTGTAGCCTAGTATCAGCTAAGGACTTTAGTGACATTCACCTCACACAAAACTGTCAATTCAAGGCTTAGTCTATTGTTCAGTTGTGACTGAGTGAAACTATTGCTCCAGATGAATGTTCAACTTAACAGTCTCCATCAAAACACTGGTATATAAAAGAAATGTGGTTCTGAGACTACTTTGTTACAAACCCTAGAGTTTGGTGGGGATTGTTGGATATATTATGGGCTTGGCCCGTATAATATTTAATAAATCAAATAAAACTCTATGGTTCGTAACATTAAGCGTTATATGGTTTAATACCATACGGGATTTTGACTGAACGTTGACTCAGCTCATTTGGTTGGAAATGATCCATCTTAATTGGAAGCTGAGAAAATGACACAGGAGTGGCACACGCGCGCGAGCCGCCGCCGGCCGGGCCGGGCCGGGCCGTGGGCGTGGGCGTGGATGTGGGCCAGGCAAAGGCCGTGGCCGTGGACGTGGGTCGTGACAGGCAGGCAGGCAGTTAGGCGGGCGGCGAGTGAGCGAACGGGCGGGCGTGGCCAGGTTTTGCCACTTAATTCACATAATTACGGGAGTTTCTCTACTTTATGGAGGAGGCGAGTTGATTGCGCCAGTTTCCGTCTCTTCGTGTCTCCGTATCCTGAGTTCCTCCGCTGGCTTTCTCCCTCCTCGCCGCAGGCATAGAAGTAGAAATCCACCGTCAGTCCAATCCTTTCTTCGCTTACGAGAAACCACATCTTAGCCGCCCTTTGGCTTTTCCCGTCCTGTTCCTCTGCGCGCACAGAGTAGCGGGAGAGCAGGTGTCTCCGGAACCCTCGTCCGCCTGCGAACCTTGCACGGGGTGTGCGGCGATTAGGTTTTTGGGGAGCGATTCCGCGACTGCTCCTCCACGTACCAGACGTCTTCTTCCTGGTGATTGCTCGCGGAACAGCAAGGTGTCTTCTTCCTGGTGACCGTTCGTGGGTCTACACTGCGAACACCTTCATGCATCGACTGTGGTCATCGACTTCGAGCAACGCACTATGTCTGGTGTGAATGGAGCCTCCGATGCCCTCGGCATGGGACCCTCCGCTAGGTACACTCTTAACTCTCCGATTACCGTACTTTGTGTACTTACTGTATCGATCGGTATGTCATACTTGCATGCTGTAGTGTTTGTTAGTGATATACATATGCACATATAGATCGTCAGGAACCTGTTGATGTTTTATTTCTGCATTAAATTGACCATGAAAATACCTAATTGTCTAACAGACCCAATCCTATAGCAGACCTGGCATGCCACGTAGCTTCATTCTCATGTGTATTGCACCATTTTGCATTTGCATTTTTACTGTTATCGCCCTACAAGATGGAACAGGTAGTTGGGGGTTTTATTTTTACAATATGGCCTCAGGAGCTAATTCTCTCATTTGCCTATCTTGCTCGCATCGCCGTAGTTGAACCCTATGGTCGATTCGCCACTGCCAATAGCTCCTCATTTCCGATTGTCGTCATTCAAAGCCCATCTTTCTCATTCGTCGACCGTACTCTCCGATTCACCTTTTCTCTTCTAGTCTCTAGTCCTTCATTTGGATCCTTTTTTTTAATAATGCTTCTAGCATGGACCATGGAGGTGAGTTGTAGTTCATCCAAGCCGACCCAGAGGGAGGGTAACTGTAGGATGGTCAAGGCATTGCAAGCATCACATGTGAATGACGACCACTTCTTTTTACCTCTGCCCTGCTTACGAGGTGAGTTATGAGCTAAGATTGTACTAATTGTAGTTGCAATTTTCATTCATTGTGTTATTGTCAGCAATGGATATTGCATTTGGTTGCAAAGAAAGCTGCATGTCCGTTTTCGTACTAAGAGGAGAGGAACTGTAGATAGATAATGGCTACCTTCCTGCTAATTATCAACGTGTGTTCAACATAGAAGCCATTGTTGAGGTTGCAAGCAATGGCGGATCCAAAAACACTAAAACAGATAGGGGGTTTGAACAATAAAAATCGATACGCAAAAAGTATAAAAAACAGGTTAGGTGGAGAGGGAGAGCATATGAGATTGGTGGACAAGAGAGAGATTAGGGGGGGAGGAGGAGGAGGGAGAGCAGCAGGCTCCTATTTATGCTGGCTGTTTTGGCACTTCCGAGCCCGGTTGGTGCCAAGGTTAATTAAGACCTTCCTTTCACACTTCGGTTAACAATCATCAGCTCGATCACATTCTCACAGCATGGCACGTAGGGCACGAGAAATTTTACTCGGTGGCATGTTAGGCGCCACGACCTTTTTAGTAGCAGATATAAAATGTCAAACATCTTTGTGGCGCGATGGTAAAACTCTCTAAAATAAAGCATTGTTCTTTAGGTGGCAAATCTATTGGTGACTGCAGTTCCACACGGGTTGCCGACAAACCCAGTACTTAGAACCTAAAGTCAAAGAGATGCCATTTTTCTGACGAGATGGATAATGAGAGATCAAACACCCTAATAATCACGGCGAAATGGAATACTGCAATGCAATAGGATGGCGATTGGCCGGCTACCGGCAGCAGCCAATTGGGTGCGAGCGATGGCGTGCACGCGCTGCTCACCCCATGCCACGACAGCAACGACTTCCTGGATTTTCACCCTGCCTTAAATCCTGAATTTGAGAGTATGTAGCTAGCATCACCGGCATTCGGCGCCTGTGGAAGCCACAGAGACGGAGATGGAAGCGAACGAGGAGGCGAGGGACTGGGCGGAGCTGCCGAGGGACGCGTTGCTGGCCGTGCTCCACAGGCTGCACCATGAAGACGTGCTCACGGGGGCCGGGCAGGTGTGCCGCCCCTGGTGCCACGCGGCGCGGGACGAGCCCGAGCTGTGGCGCCGCATCGACCTGCGCCGCCGCGCCGCGCTCTCCACGCCCATCGTCCACCTAGACGCGATGGCGCACGTTGCCGTGATGCATAGCGCGGGACGGTGCGAGGCCTTATGGGCCAAGGACTTCGTCGACGACACCTTCATCGTCTTCCTCAGTCGCCGGTGAGGATTCGTCGCGGCACCGGCTCAATTCACGTTTGATTTCTTGCTGCTTCACCAATAACCAATCTGCTAAGAACGCAATGATCCATTGTTGCACCTGCAGGGCCCCCAAACTGAAGAGCCTCTGCCTCATCTCCTCCAACATCTCGACGCAGGTCCTCAACGGAGCAATATCGAGGCTCCCCATGCTCGAGGAGCTAGAGCTGTCACTCTGCTCAGGCGCCGCCACCGCCTCGGGCCACTACAGCCTCGCCGAGACATGAACGGCCGCGGCCAAGGCCTGCCCGCTCCTGAAGCGGCTCCGGCTGAGCAAGTACCGCTTCCACCGGCGGTCAGCCGTCGGCGACAGCGAAGCCATGGAGATCGCCAAGATGCGCGACCTCCGGTGCCTGCAGCTCTTAGGCAACAGCATCAGCAACGTCGGCCTCGCGGCTATCCTCGGAGGCTGCGCGCGTCTGGAATCCCTCGACATCCGCCACTGTTTCGACGTCGAGATGAACGATGAGACGCGCGTTATGTGTGCCAGGCTGCAGACGCTGAGGCTACCAGACGACAGCATGGACGGGTACGACCTCAGCTTTGGCAGCCCTGAGATGAACCCAGGGATCCCTGGATTGGGTTTTCCTGACAATCCTGTAATGAACTTCGGTTTTCGTGGAGATATACTCTGGGATTCATGGTAGAGAGTAGGAGGTGCAACTCATTTTTGTGTACTATGCTTGATGTGACACGGTGTATTTTCATGATAAATTGACTTGTTGCCTGCTGGCTGTTTTACTATCAATGTAGCTCGCAATTAATCCACTTGTACAGTATCATGAATATTTTCATTAGAAAAATATGATGAGTTCTGCTCCAATATTGGAGGAGTTCTCAAATATGATTGCTCAAAATTGGTTTAATCTAGAGCACATGTTAATAGGTTACATAGTCCAGTCTTGACTAGATCAAGTGATTTATCTTTGTTGTCTTAGACCACTCTTAATGATAGTTTTTCATTCTCGTTTAATAGGATGTCACCTAAGCAAATTTGATGACATGAGATAGGATTAAAGAAGAGAGAGACGAAACAAGTTTCATCTAGATCAAACCCCTAGACATTGTTTCAAGTCCGAATGTGTTATAGAATTAAATGCAATGAGTGCATATTAAACACAAAAATTGAAACCATGCACTGCAGAAGGTCGACCATGGATCAAATATTATTTACTGATGTCATATTACTTGGAAACAACAAAATGAAACAATACACTAAGATTGGCCTTAGTGATTTCTACTATATGCCCATTGAAACATGTGTGTCTAACCCTATAGAATCATTTGTTCTCATGAACGCATTATTAGCCAGCCATAAATTTAATTTAGCTGTTGAAACCAGAAATGTTGTTTGGTTTCATTAGAAGGGTTTTGATTTGTGAGTGCGACAATTTACAAAGTAACTATAAATAGCTCAACCAATGAAGAAAGACTTGAAGCACGAATCATCATTAAAATGCTGACTATTCCATGTAAAGATACTAAACTACTAGAGAACAGACTTTAGAACGATGTCCCAATTTGGTATTAGCCTCGGCATTTTTTGCCGCCGGGACTAAAGGTCCCTGCCCAAAGGTTTTAGTCCCGGTTTGGGTGATACCTCGGGAATAAATATTAATCTTTAGTCCCGGTTTGGCCACCTAACCGGGACTAATTATGCCGGTCTATACACCGGCTCATTTCTTCCTCCCCGAGCCTTGTTCTTGCTCTCTCCCCCTCCATTGGTGTTGCTCTTCGATTTTGGAGGTAACAAACTTAATCCTCTTATGTTTTATCAGTAGCTTATCTCGTTTTGCGATGTAGATGCATGTGTAACTTTATATGTTGGACTTTATTATGATTTTATATGTCATTTTTAGCTCAAAATCACATGATGATTTGCATATATGTTTGGATAAACGAAAGTTAAATTAGTTCATCAAAATCACGCCTCGCTCGTCCTCGCTGGAGCACGCGCCATCCTCGTCCCTGGCGGCTTACGTGATCTTAGAATTAATTTTTCCATGAAATGAAAAACTTAGAAAATAGTTAGAAAATTGTAGAAAATCCGTACTAGTTGAACTTGCGGACCGTGATCATCTCGGCGAGCATTTTCACTGCCGAGCGGTAACGGACGTCAAGGAGGAGCTTTGATTCTACGAGGGAGAGCGGCAACGGTCGTGGAAGACCGTGTTTCCTTCCTTGTAGAATCGGAGCTCTTCCTTGGCCAAGCACGGCACTGCCGTCCAAAGGAGAAATGCTCATTTGAGATAATCACGTAAGCAAGGTCAACTAGTATGGATGGTTATTTATTGAAACATGTTTTTGAGCTATGTGATTTCTATGTCATTTTTAGCTCAAAATCACATGATGATTTACAATAGTAAAATCACTTGATAGTTTGGTATTTTACTATTATACATAGTACATATTTCATGGTTTAGTTAGATAAATAAATAATTTTAGTTTTGTTTAAATATATTATTTTAGAAAATGTGAAATTTCTGATGAGTTTGCAAAAATAAGTATAGAAAGTAGATGACAACTGGTACCGGATCCTCGGCCTCTCGTTCGGTTGCGAAACGACTGAGGCCAGAACTCTCTCTCATTATCTGCGGCAAGTGTAAGCAGAAGATTGTGATGGAGTACCGAGTCAAGAGACAGGGACCCAACAAGGGTCGTGTTTTCTACAAGTGCTCGGAACGCGATGTGAGTTTCTTACGCATTTGATTATTATGGCTAATTGACCTGCTTTTCTTGAATATTTTTGACTAAATATTTTTTGGCTTTAATTTCAGTAGGAGGGCAATGGATGCGATGTTGGTACTGGGAGGAAGATTATGTTACATACGTGCATAATTCGGCTGCTGCTGATGAGGCAGTGAGCCAGCAGGAGAAGCTTATTGATATTCAACAGAAGAATGATTTGTCTGTTTTAGTTGCGTACGATCACGAAATAATTATGTTACTAAAGTGCATTGTAGTTTTAGTTTGTTTAGTGATAGTTGGGATTGCTTACGTTGTAGCCAGGCTTAGTTAATTAATCAACCGTGTGTGTGTCATCTATGTTGTGTAATAAAATACTTAATTATGTTCAAGGTTTTCATAATTTGTCGTGTAATACAGATTATGTCACGCCATTGGATGTACAATGCCGATCGCCGCTCCCAAGACTTTATTGAGGGCTTGCACTATTTCTTAGGTGTGGCCGAGGCAAATAAGCGGGATAGTTTCATGTGCTGTCCATGTGCCCTATGTAAGAATTTAAAGGAATATTCAATCTCAATGAGTCTTCATTCACATTTGCTTAAGTCAGGTTTCATGTCAAACTATATATGTTGGACTAAGCATGGAGAAAGCGGGGTCATGATAGAAAAAGGTGAAGGAGAAGATTTAGACATTGATGACATTATTGCTCAGTATGGTGCCTTTGATGATACTACAATGGGGGGAGATGAAGAAGAGGTAGCGGTAGAAGATGATCTCGGTGATGCTCTTGGCGATGCCATTCGTGATGCACAACAAGAATGGGAAAGTGAAAAAGAGAAAGTTAAGTTCGAACGCATGCTTGAGGATCATAGGAAGTTGCTGAGATGATCAAACTTGGTATTCAGAGTTTTTTCATCTGAGGTCATTTAGTGTCTCATTTGAGCAAGTTTGACCAAGTCAAATTTGGTCAAATAAAAAAACAACATTTTGACTCTAGTATTATAAACTCTAAATGACTTCAAAGTGAAAAGTTTTGAATACCAAGTTTATTAAACTCATCAATATCTACAATTGTTGTTTTGGTCAACTTTCCATTTGAGAAAGTTTGGATGGTTCAAATTTGTGATTTTTAAATTTCGACGCATACAAACTAGTTTTCGGGACCCTAGATTGTCTCAAATTGAAAAGTTTTGAATACCAAGTTTGTTCATCTCATCAATATCTACAATCCTTATATAGGCCATTTTTTCATTTGAGAAAGCTTGAACAAAATGTAGTTTAAATTTCACAAGTGTGTGACATAATTTTAGAAAGTCTATATGAGATTCAAGAAGTTGTGACTAGTGTTTGATAAAAATTTCTCGAATGGGAAAATGAGCTATGTAAAAATTGTAGATCTTGCTGAGATGATCAAACTTGGTATTCAGAGTTTTTTCATCTGAGGTCATTTAGTGTCTCATTTGAGCAAGTTTGACCAAGTCAAATTTGGTCAAATAAAAAAACAACACTTTGACTCTAGTATTATGAACTCTAAATGACTTCTAATTGAAAAGTATTGAATACCAAGTTTATTAAACTCATCAATATCTACAATTGTTGTTTTGGTCAACTTTCCATTTGAGAAAGTTTGGATGGTTCAAATTTGTGATTTTTAAATTTCGACGCATACAAACTAGTTTTCGGGACCATAGATTGTCTCAAATTGAAAAGTTTTGAATACCAAGTTTGTTCATCTCATCAATATCTACAATCCTTATATAGGCCATTTTTTCATTTGAGAAAGCTTGAACAAAATGTAGTTTAAATTTCACAAGTGTGTGACATAATTTTAGAAAGTCTATATGAGATTCAAGAAGTTGTGACTAGTGTTTGATAAAAATTTCTCGAATGGGAAAATGAGCTATGTAAAAATTGTAGATCTTGCTGAGATGATCAAACTTGGTATTCAGAGTTTTTTCATCTGAGGTCATTTAGTGTCTCATTTGAGCAAGTTTGACCAAGTCAAATTTGGTCAAATAAAAAAACAACACTTTGACTCTAGTATTATGAACTCTAAATGACTTCAAAGTGAAAAGTTTTGAATACCAAGTTTATTAAACTCATCAATATCTACAATTGTTGTTTTGGTCAACTTTCCATTTGAGAAAGTTTGGATGGTTCAAATTTGTGATTTTTAAATTTCGACGCATACAAACTAGTTTTCGGGACCCTAGATTGTCTCAAATTGAAAAGTTTTGAATACCAAGTTTGTTCATCTCATCAATATCTACAATCCTTATATAGGCCATTTTTTTATTTGAGAAAGCTTGAACAAAATGTAGTTCAAATTTCACAAGTGTGTGACATAGTTTTAGAAAGTCTATATGAGATTCAAGAAGTTGTGACTAGTGTTTGATAAAAATTTCTCAAATGGGAAAATAAGCTATGTAACAATTGTAGATCTTGCTGAGATGATCAAACTTGGTATTCAGAGTTTTCTCATCTGAGGTCATTTAGTGTCTCATTTGAGCAAGTTTGACCAAGTCAAATTTGGTCAAATGAAAAAACAACACTTTGACTCTAGTATTATGAACTCTAAATGACTTCAAATTGAAAAGTTTTGAATACCAAGTTTATTAAACTCATCAATATATACAATTGTTGTTTTGGTCAACTTTCCATTTGAGAAAGTTTGGACTGTTCAAATTTATGATTTTTAAATTTCGACGCCTACAAACTAGTTTTCGGGACCCTAAATTGTCTCAAATTGAAAAGTTTTGAATTACAAGTTTGTTCATCTCATCAATATCTACAATCCTTATATAGGACATTTTTTAATTTGAGAAAGCTTGAACAAAATGTAGTTCAAATTTCACAAGTGTGTGACATAGTTTTAGAAAGTCTATGAGATTCAAGAAGTTGTGACTAGTGTTTGATAAAAATTTCTCAAATAGGAAAATGAGCTATGTTAAAATTGTAG